TAAGGCCATGGAGTTCATGAGTATCACCACGGGATATAATATTTTAATTACACATTTTGTATTTCGTGTTATATTTAAATACTATTCTTCAGTGGCAATAAAATTTTATTTAAGTAAAGTTTCAGTTCCTTCAAATCAATCATAATGTGTACAGAAGAAGTAGCATTTATTCAATTAACAATACATTTCCCATTGTTAGAATATAGTTTATGTATCAGCTATGCTGTAATCTACAAAGCAAATAGCATTCTTTTAATAAGCTTTCTAAATGTATCGTATTAATTGATTACTATTAAAAATTTTACAATAATGGAAAATATATTATCGTTCGAATAATGATACCGTCAATAATCCTACTAGCTGTTGATTATGAGTAAAATGCTTTGAAAATAATAAAATATTAAAAGTATTGTGAACAATAACAAAATAAGCCACAGAACTATCCTTTCAGACAATAATGATCATTTATAAAAAAAAAAATTGTATATAAATGTACTAATAAATGCTAATTTTTATATAATCTTAATTTCACATTCATAATAAGAAATTACATATAATAATCATATGTGTAATTAATATTGTTAATGAAAAATACACATATGTTACAGTAAAGAGTATACAGAAAATTTCGCAGGAAACTAAAGTGCCCCACTTCGTATTAATTACTTATCCTACCATTTTAATTTTTTTTCCAGTTTTGTTCCTTTTTTTCATTAATATCTCTTTAATATATCACTATCTTATACTATTACACATACTTTCGGAAATCTTACAGCAACGTTGTTATATCCGAGATTAATCGGCAGTAGAGTACATTTAGTTTATAGCGAATACAATATATTCATTCAGTAATTACAATTACTAGAAACAATATGACTCATCTGTAGTATTATATAATTACCTATGGCAAGGACCCGCCTAAACTGCAAGTTATTTAAATGTATTATTAAAATTATCAAATAACTAAAACAAAAATTCATAAACAAGATATATCAATAGAAAAATCGTGTATTTAATAGAATGAATAATAAAAAATACTAAATAAAATTCAACGAAATCAATGACTAAATAGTTATAACAATGAACCCAAATAAAATATGAAAATATAAATATATATTATCGTGAGTGTACATCACTTTAATCTAATATTTCAATGATTACATCCGCCTACACGTTAAAGTTTGCAATAATAGCAATAACAATAGTAATACTGGTAAATTATATGGCGCGGTAAGCAATTTGTTATCCCGCTTATATATTTAGTACATGTATATATATTTTTTTTGTATACATATACTATATATTTCTTGTTTACCTACCTAATGCGTATACTAAAATTTATTATCCGAAATCTACAATTTGATAATCATTTTTCTTTTTTTTTTTTTTGTTGTAATACCAAAAGATTCAATATGCAGGCAGTTCACTTCCGTTACAGAAACAATATTTCTTTTTACAGTTAATATTGTATTGAACTTATGGTGAATTCTGATTATAATGTAGACAATAATTATTACTATGCATGCTTAGAATAGTTATTTATTTGGAATTTCTCGAGTTTTCTCAAGTAGATGTGCACATAAAAATTCCTAAACTTTTTTTTGTCATATATAGTTTTATTTTAGTGCTTTTCGCAAGAAACTGATTTCCTTGCAAAGATATATCACTTATCATTTTATCGTCCTTAAATGTAATTTCATTACATACATAGTGAGTGAGAGAGAGAGAGAGAGAGAGAGAGAGAGAGAGAAAGAGAGAGAGAGAGAGTTAGAAACAGATATTTTTCACTCAGTTTCAATAACATTTCAAAGCAACCAACTGAGTTATTCTTATTGTTAACATTATAAAATATACAATTCTAACCTACTTCAAGAAATGTCAGCACGTGTCACAGACTTAATAATAGTAATAATCCAACAATCGTTCGATATTCACTGATAACGTAATGAGACACACAGCATGTTTAATAAATAAAATGTGCATATTGTTTCGACAGTGAGGAAGGAGCATATGCACGTGTGAAAATGCGAAGTAAAATTATTGACAGTGTATCGCAGATGTTGATGTTTAAATTAAAAAATAAACGAGCTTACAGTGGTCATTTCTTACTTAATAAATCAAGTTTATACATCGCGGTAATAACTTCAAATTATCAAAAGATTAGCGAATCAATTACACAAAAAAAGACAAAAACGATAAAATGCCGAAAAATTCGCATATATTAATACCAAAATTGCCTTTTCCAATGATATCCCAGTTATTTTTCTACTGCAAAAACTCATCTAAACTAAATATCAAAATTATACAATTATCTTGTGACCATTATACGCTCGATAATGAACAGAAAGCATCAAACGTAAATTAAATATTATACGTTAACAGGTACTTATACTGCGATGTAATAATAATAATATTCGCGATGTACTGTCAGGAGAAATTTTCATTATTCCACGTCGTAAACAGTACATCCTACTCCACAAAATTAATGGATCGCTAAATTTTGACGAAAAAATTGTCGATATTTGAACTGCTGTAACTTCGTGAAAACAAATCGTACAACAGTCTACCTGGGGTCTTTTTAAAAGGTGAAGCCTATACTTTCACATCCCTGATCTGAATTTTTTCAAACACCTTTTTATATTATAAAACGGAGTGAAAAACTGAAGTTACCTTTTTTTTTTTAATTATACAAATTCAAACGACTCTACGGAGTTTAAAGCATTTTTTTCGAGATTTGTTTTAAAATAATTTGATGAAAGGAAGTCTCCCCTTTACAACGATCTCTAAAAAGTGTAACTTTAAATGAGAAGTATACCGCTGGCATTGGAATAACCCAAGGTAAACCACGAGGAGGTTGCACAATCGGACTTGTACCTCGTGTATAGTGTGTTTAGAAACGAGTATGACCCCCTCATTGGTATATCACTTCTTGGCATCGTTCGTGCATGTTGATGCATCGCCGCATTAACTCTTGAGGAATATTGTTCCGAAGTCTTCGAAGTGTATCTCTCAATGTTTACAATATTACAAAAAGTCTTTCCAATATTTACAATATTAGAGAAGATCTTCCAGTCTTTTCTTTAAACCTTGTTTCATTACCTTATTCAGTATTGGTTACCGAACATTAAAACATAATGCATACAAAAATTTTGTGATGCTGCAAAAAGCAGTGACAGAGGCACCAGCCCAAATTATTATCCTTCTCCAAGAAGGTAACAGTCAGTAGTATGTGGCAAGATGTATGGGTGTGAGTCGAACTCGATATCAAGCACTCAAAGTTTTCGAAGACGACGAGGACAGAGTCGCAGGCGAGAGACAGAGCCATAGTGCGATACGTATCGTGTAATCCGACAGCATCAGCTCGTCAAGTCCGCGATAAACTTCATTACGTTCTGTCGGGAGCTGCTGTAAGTACAGAAACAATCCGCCGAAGATTTCAGAAATCTAGGCGATATTCACAGTGTTTGATTTACGCACCGAATCACGTGAATTGGACTGAAAGAGGGTGGACTAGCGTGTTATTTACTGACGAATCGTCATCAACAGGTTTGACGTCTTTCAACGGTGGCTCCGTGATGGTGTGGGCCAGTATTTCATTCTTCTACCATACAGATTTGGTGGTAGTGTTTTCACCAGCACTAAATGCAACACGGTATGTGGATGAAATCTTAGATCCCTACATACTACCAATGCGAGACAGAATCGGATCAGCATTCTTGCTCATGCAAGACAGGCACTGGCACTGGCTAAGCCACACGCAGCACAACACACCCGCTGCTTTCTTCAGTCATATAACATCTTGATTCTTAACCATCCACCAATGAGTCTGGATCTCAATCCGATCGAACATTCGTGGGAAATCCTAGGTCGACGATTAAGAAGCCTAGGAAAACCTCCAGTGACACTACATTCAGTGGGAAATAGACTTTAAAATGATATCTCCCAAGAGTTAATACGATGATGCATCAACATGAATGAACGATTGAGAAGCCAAGAAGTGATAAGGCAACTTGGGGATAATACTCGTTTTTAAACACACTATACACACACTATAGACGCACTAAACACACACACACTATACACGCACTACACGCGCAGTAAACACACACACTATACACGAGGTGCAACCTCCTCGTGGTGTACCTTCAGTTATTCTAATGCCAGCGACACATTTTTCATTTGAAGTGCGATAAAACGGCGATAAAAAATCGTATATCAACTTTTTAGAGGTCATTGTAAAGGGTAGATTTCCCTTTACAAGGTCCTTTTAAAACGAATCTCGAAAAGAATTTTAAATTAAAAAAAAAGTAACTTCAGTCTTTCACTCTATTTTATAATATAAAAGGGTCTTTGAAAAAATCCAGTTCAGGAGTGTGAAGGTAGAGGCTTCACCCTTTAAAATCAGCCCAGGTAGACTGCTGTACGAAATTTTTTTACGAAGTTACAGCAGTTCAAATATCGACAATTTTCGGTCAAAATTTACTGATCCTTTAACTTTGTAGTATAGTGTATATATGTGGTTTAAAATACTACGAATCTCTCGTGTCAGATCACAATAAAGATAATATCACGCATAAAAAGGAAAAAATTGATACTCTTAAAACCAACAGAAGTTTAAAAAAATTATAAAATCGATAAAAACAGTAATTGTGGACGTGATAAATCCGACTGAAGAAAGGAACGAAATAGATAGTGCTGCAAGTATGTAGAAATTCAACACCCTGTCCGTATTTCTCTATAAGCAAGATAAGAGAATCTAAGTGAAAGCTTTAATTCGAAATTAGATGCCTCCAAGGGGGTGGATCGGGGGGTGGAGGCAAAGGGACTGGTTACGGTCGGCAATGACCCCTTTTCCTACCACCTTCGTTGCCATCCTCCTCTTCGCCGCCCCTTCTCACTTCAGTGTAACGTTCACCCTTCACGCTCACGATCTTGTTGTCCAGATAGCGTACTAATTTTTTTGGTTCCGTTTTTGGGGCAACTGGACGGTGCTCACGCGAATCATCATCTCTGTCGACGTAACTATACCGTGCGATGATACGTGACTTCAGTTCCTCGTCGTTCACTCTGGCCTTGTTACGACCGTTTGGCTACGCAAGATAATTACGCTATTTTATGTCGTTTAACTCATAATTGTTAGTTAACTGGTCCACTACTATGAAAATGCAAGTGCATACACGTATACGTTAATAGTGTTTTAGATAGTACAAGTATTAAGCACTATCTAAGGAATACATTAGATAAATGTTTTAGCTATAGATATATCGTGGAAAGTGGATACTTACTGTTAAAAATGTAAGATTACTAACAATGCTTTGTCCTGCTTCTTGTCTATGAAGAACAAGTTGTGCTGCCTGTGCTATATCACCACCAGCAACTGCCAAACAATGTCTGGCTTCTGCTGGACTTGCAGCTGGGAACATTTCTTGTAAAAGTGCAACTTGATGCCAAGATGATTCCTGATGAGGAAAGTACATTAATATTTAAAAGTGTGTTGTGTATAGCAAACAAAATTTTGTATGCAATTAAAAACAAGGTGGTGATTTGTAAGAGAAGACAAAAGAGCTTACTTCTGCGAAGTATTCTCCACTAGAATCACTTCCAGCATCGCTTGTTTCTGAGAGATGATGAACTCTCATTCTTTGTGTACCAGGAGGTAACAAAGCTGATAGACTTATCTGACTTAAGGGATCCTGAGCTTGCAAATTTTCACTGCCTTTAGTTTCTTGCTTTAGTTTACTTTCAATATCTAATAACCATTTGGACACAGCTTCCTTTTCAATGGTAGAAAATTCAGGAAGACAAGCAGATACCATTTCACATAATCCATCAACATCCAAGTCTTCCTCAAGTGCACTTTTTTCTACCATACTCACCACATAGCTCAGAACAATATCATCTATTAAACTGAAAAGAATATCTTTATAAATTACAAAAGCACAATGAACAAGCTTACATTCCACGTGTATTTCTTTCAAATCATACACAAAAGAGGTTTTTTTCAGTTCTTTACCTCAACTGGGCAGTGGGTACTTCTTTTCTCACAAAACTAAATAAGGACTTCTTCACCAATTCTTCCTTTTCATCCATTGTACGATTCATCCTAGAACAATCACAAAAATTTATTAAAATATTGTTCATTATATTCACCCAAAGATCACTTGTCACTGAAAAATTTGCACAGACCTAACTTATCCTTCACAAACTCAATTTTATATCAATTAGTATAATCTTAAATAATCAATCCATTAAAAGAATAAAATATCTCATAAAACTTAATACTGAACCCATTTTACTTGATTATAACTACATTTTCATTCAACAATTGATCTGAAATAATTTAACGATTGTTCATAGAAAAAGGCTAAGAATGATGACATACAGTTGCCAAACAAACTCATCTTTTAAAGCATAAACATAAAAAATCTTATTTAGAAAAAAATTAACATTCTTCTTCAATGAAATACTTCAATGAAAATAAACTTGAAACAACTTTTTGGAAAAAAATTTACATAAAAAATTATCGGAACAATGTCTTGAATGAAAATTCATGAATTACAATATTCTAATACGAACTTGTCGAAGCTGAGTTCGAATTACTGCACAGTAATTTAACTGCGTCTCGAATTGAAAGCGAACAACTAATTGTGATCGAATTAAAATTTCGTTTCGGAAACTTCATTTTCGAAGGGTAATCGTACTTTAGCGATTACCTTTTCAGTTAGGTTAAGAGAAATAAGACAAAACGGATGACATACAGTCTGAAATGAAATTGCATTCAACGAAGAACTTTAATTAAAGTCATAATTCTGTACGAAACGTAACGAGATTGTTTTTTCTCGTACACTGAAAAGTGAAAAATAACTGAAAAGGATCGTCAGGAAAAATGAAAAAGGAACGGGAAGAATTGACAAAAAGGTGGTAGCAGCGCCGGTCACATCGAGCTCTTAACATTTCCGTTCATCTGCGTAGATCGTAGGATTCCATGAAATAACATTAACATCTTTTATCGTGAAAATAGGCGCGATTACGAACCTGATCTCGTTCACTTGTTCAAAGTCCTCGGATCGTACTTCAGGCTGAAAACTGATAAAAATTTCGTATACAAACAACGTTTCTCGATTTGACAGTTTGGTAAGGGGAGGGGTGGAGATAACGTGGCGCCATCACGGTCTGCGACCCACTTCGGGATCAAATCAGCAATCCCTTTATTATAATTTTAATAATGAAAGGATTTAAAAGGAACAATTATTGCGTGGAATAAGATGATTTTCCCCATTCAGAGTGAACGAAAAAAAATGTACCTTTTTATATTGATGTTGCAAGATGTATCCTATTACAGTGAACACAGAAATTCGATTTATATCGGAGTAGTGATATCGACACTGCAACTCCTGAAATGTGTATGGTATAAATATTAATTTGTATGTAATGCAAGTCTAGTGAAATTTAGTAGTACTAGTAGTGAAATTTAATCATTCAAATGCAGTTTATTTTGCAGAGATATACATTGAACTTGTGGGTTTAAAATTGTTGCTGCATAATTATGCATCATTGTCCTTTTATAATAAACTTTTTTATCATTAGATATTCTCTGCAATAAAAACTGAACAAAAGAGTCTAATTTCCATTTATATATAAATACCAAAAACGGTAACTAAAAAAAAAAAAACATTTTCATTACATCCCTGGAAATATCATTAAAATAATTTGACTATCTATAGCCGTAGTATGCGAATAAATTACAATATTTTCTTTAATTTCTTATCTTATGGACAAATTTTTTAGATTTTATAATAAGAATAGTACATTTTTTATAACATGCATAACACAAATCATTTTGCTATATATTGTTATAGCAATTTATTTATAAGACATAATTTCACATGTTACAATGTACATATACTTTCCAATCATACATGGATTTTTACAATAAACATAATTTTGTCTCTATCTTCGATTTAGTACGTATCATATACGTAGAATGTTACTTTTACATAATGCTTACATACAGATATAATATTAAAAAAGTATTCTTTTCGAAAAAAATTTACGTAATAATCCCTAGGAACCTAAAAGAGTTGTTACAGTGTAATCGAAACTATGATACTAAATCATAAATCGTAAATTTATTGATTTTGCAATCTTATTTAATAATAATGAATTTTTATGACTAACATAAATGCATGAACTTTTTATTAATTTATTAATAAAATCAGACATCCTATTTCATATAACGGATACGTATTTAAAAGAATACAACTATAATAAATTTTATATAACGCAAATAACAGAAAAAGGAGTTGTAAACTTGTTTTTACATAATTTATAAATATCAATGTGTTGTACTGTTTGTCATTAAATTATACTGCAAACAGACGAAGTCAACAGGTACAACTTTCCCTTTAAGAAGCAACACTTTTTAAAATACTCACATATCCGTGATTAAAATAAAAAACGAACCTCCTAGTTTTCGGTAACGCTTCAAAATAATAACTGTATTAATAAAAATAATTGATCAACTTCCACATGATTACTGAAGTTGATTTGTAAGTTACAAGATTGTAATATTATAAAAGTTTAGATCGATTTGTCTTTGACAAATAAATTACAATTATAATTAAAAACGTGAAGGTCATGTATCGTACTCAAATTTCTACAAGTCACACAATAAAACTGGTTATAGGTACTTTTATAAATATTTACACTTAATTAATAATCTTCATTTAAATCGTACTTTCTGACATAGTCATTTGTATAGAAATATCAGTTTCGAACAGTGAACTTGGAGAAAATGCTCGAAAGATATACGTAGCTGCTATGATTCGTAGAGTAAGTGGTAAAAATAGTTTTACTTTTCAATCGTTTACGTTCTATTTACAATATCGATGAAATATTTGTCATACTTCTCCGGAAATAAACAATCGAGTTTCAATATTATAACTATTCTACGTCTCGATCGATCAAAAACAAATAAAGCTGAGATTGCATATGCGCCTAATGATTCATTGCAATGGTCGATTACATAAGGCGATATCACAAAAGTAATATACATGGAACACAGCTAGAAGTATACTGTTCGATTTTTTGTTTGGGATTTGGAATAAAATAATAATCTTGTTTAATGATTTCCGTCTTTTTGGCCGCAAATGTGCCTCCCGACAAAGACTATCTGTCAACTACAAACTTATCTTTTAATGTTCGCTAAAATGTCCTTAATCTCTTCATTGTATTCCTAAAACTTTCGAGATTTTTAAAAAAGGTTATTAGAAACATTAAACATCTTCCATAACTGAAAAAGAGCGATGAAGATTAGACAATTCAAATGTTCATCTGAACGAGGACTACAGAAGAAGAGTGACCAGCCAAAAGCAGGAAACAAAATACTCCATAAAAAGAATTGAAGAAGATATTCCACACTCCTAATGTGAAGAGAATCAGGACGTAGATGGCAAAGATATAGCTACTGATTCAGAAAAGAAGAAAATAATCGAAATCCATACTCAATGAACAAATTCACGTTTCAGAATAAAAAGAATAAAAGTCTATAAGAACTATGTTCTCATAGCAATACTGGATAATTCTAAGAACTCCTTAAGAAATCAAAATATAGATATCTATTCGTTCTTTTCACTTTCCCATCGGATGATCTGAGTTTCCATTAATTGCTTTACTAAACCGGCTTCTTTTCTTTTGAGCATTGTTCCTTTTCGACTCCACTTCCTTCACCGTCGTCAAGTTCGACAGAACTAAAATCCCTGGATTCTTCTTTACTGTCCTTGTTTGAGACGATTTCCGTTTCTTCGACTATGTCCTGTTCCTGTTCTAGAAAGTCCGTAGGTACAAATTCCATTTGATCTTCGCTATCGTTTATATCAGGTGGTTCAGGTATCTCGCAGAAATGAATTTCCCTTTCGCCATCGGTGGTCTCATTGCCACCCGGATCATCCTCTTCGTGTAAACTCATAAGCTTGTCAAAGTTCGACGGTGTTGAACTATCCTCGTTATTCTCGGGAAATATCTCCGTAGGGCTAAGAGGTATATCTAAAGGTTCCATCTTAACTATAGCAGTCGGTGACGTAGGCGTAACAGGTCGTTGTAAGCGTATCTTCGTAAAGGGTTTCGGCTCGATAGGTTCTGAGTGTTGCCGTTTTTGTGCACGTTTCGGACTAGAAGGCATAGAAACTCCGGAAGAGGAAGCTTTCTCTTTGGTCTCTGAAGCGGCTCGAGGAACTGGTTGTGATACTACTGGCTTTGATTGAGGAATAAGTAGAGGTGGCTTTGGATTCTGTGTAAAGTAAATATTCTTTATGCAAACTCTATCAAGAAAACCTATGTTTGATCAAGAAACAGAACGTGTTTTTCACCTGAGATGAAGGATTTGGTCCAGCTAATCCTTTTACTTGTAACGCCTCTGCTGCGTTTAACAGTTGCGGTAGCTTATCGTGGGCAACGTTTACCTCGCCACGGTACATAAATTTGACTAGCGCTTCCACTTCCCAAAATTTAAGATCTTTCATTAAAATAATCGGATGCTGACACGGGTTCTCGCGTAACAGATCCGCGAGATAATCACTGCACGACGATAGTATCATTTTGTGACACTTCAACGAACGGCCCTCGCAGGCCAAGGTAACATCGACGAATTGTTCGGAATCCAACAAGGATGGGAAACTATTCTGCATGTTACTGTGATAACTGTTCCATCTTAAACAAACCTAAACCACAAAAGTGTTGAATATTTAAATTGTTGACATAAAACGTGACATTTTGAAACCTTTCATTCTTCATTATTTAATAGATTAATACATACCTCTGTAGGCTGTTGATGTACAATACTATGAGGTATTCCTTGATTGGTCTGCCGTGGTGGCATTTTAATCGTTGTGGGTGCAACCTGTTTTACTTTCAGAGGTATTGTTTTTAACACAAGAGTCTTTGGTTGTCGTTGCTGCTGTTGCTGCTGCTGTTGCTGTGATATAGGTGCTGGTGCAATGTTTCTAATATGAGATCTTACCAATGATTGTGCTGCTATTCTTATAGCCTTTCCAGTTGTATTGGCCTGAGAAGGTGTTTGTAATACTGCAAAAAGATACTTTCATTACTCTCATTATAAACATAATTAATAAACCACATAAAAGTGTAACTGTAATTCTTATCTCTCTGTACTCATTAATATAACTCTCCAGAAGATATCAGAAAGGTATCCCAATAATATATACAGTCATATACATATAGACTGTCCGGTACTCAAAAAATAAAAATGCCCTTTAGTGACAGATCTTAGTATTATTCATACAGTGAATACAAACTAAATTGCAACCTTATCCTATTTAAACTCATACACACAGTATAACAATATGCTCATCAACAACTTCCAAACTATTGTCAAGTTACACAATATCACTCTCCCAGTCGTAAATCACCATCAATAACCAACTATCATTACCGTGATAGCGACTGCCAATGAGTCTGCCACCGTGGTGTACCCTGAGGTGTCGATGAAGGTTCGTTGTACCGCACTGTCGTGGATTCGCGCCGCCCCTGACCACGACCGCCCCGCAGATTCTGCACTGGGCACGTAGAGGATCGTTTGCACACAAGTCAAAATGAGCCCAGACCGCGCTCGGATTTGTCATGGCACGTAGGCTACGTGCATGCGAACGAACACGGTCCGTGGCGCCCGCGTGACGGCTCGTCGACGAGGGCGGCGACGGAGACGGCATTTCTGCCGCCTCCAGATAGCAATCATCCTCGTCCTCCGGCTCTTGCTTCATCGCGACGTCCTCGAGCCGGATGCCCTCCACGATATCCTCGTTGGAAGACGTGGCGTCGCGATTTCGCTCCCGTTGTTGCTCCTGTAGGAGACGGCGAGCAGTCAGCTTCACGGTGTCCTTACAGGCCACCAGTACAAGCCGACCCGCCGTAGTAGCCGTTGTGCTCGTTGCTCTTGAATCAGCTATCTCAATCCCAACTCCACGCCGATCGTGTTTCCGTTCCTTTCTGCGGGACGAAAACGCGACACATTCTCAGACATCCGAAAAAGTGACATCCTCATATTGAACGCGAATCGATTTCTCCCGCGCGTTGACATTCTGACTTTGCGTTAAATGTCTCGACGTTTTATCACGTTCTTATTTTCAACAAGTAGAGCGAGAATTTGAAATATAAAAAGAAAAGGAAAGACGCGTGGAGTTAACTGGAGTAACGAACTGATCGCTTGCTGGTATATAGATTTTACGAGTGGGTTCGAAAAGGTAAATTTTGCGTTGGCGGTTTGATTGTATTCAGATCGTAGGTGGATCTACGATGTTCGTCGATTTACCACGTTGGGCCAATCGAGAACTGTGTCACGTCATTTAACCTATTTCGAATATCGAGCTGAATGGAAAATCAGATTAATGACCTTGATGTTAAATTCATCATAATCTCTGTCTATGTGGAGCGGTTTTGTAAGAGAATGCGAGGGAGTAGTTCTAAAAAGCAATGTTACATTACTTAATTTTTGAGTAAATATAATTAATAAACGAAATACTTCCTATGTATCGATATAAATATCATGTTTGAATGTACAAGTGTATTGCATAATCCTAAATATAAGGTGTTATAAATTCATAAAACGAATGTAGTAATTAAATCAGCGGTATAAAATCAATTAGTCAACGATTTGTGGCTACAGTAGTCGTTTTTCAGTATGGCGTTTCCATAAAAAGCACGAACGATAATCGTCCAGTGAGTAGATAAAATATATATATGCTTGTTCTCGCACTATCTTTCTCTGAATGCCTCTCTATTACTCCCTCTCCTTTTAGCACACCGTGGCATCATTCAGCAGACGACACACGGATAATACGTATTAACGATTTATCCGATGAGAACGTGCGATAGTATAGCACACGTATATTATGCAGACTAGATCGATATTGTATTGCAACGTGTCACAATACGAACGATCAACGATAATTGTAAAAAAAAAAACTAAATTTTCAGAAATCTACGTGTGTAATCGAAAACGATCTAAAAACATCTACGGAAGTTCTACACCATCTGCAAAGTTCCTTTCTTTCTTCTCTTCTCTCCCCTCTCTTTCCTGATTCTAAATCTCCCCTCTCTCTCCCCCACCAAACGAACGACGTTGCTCGTCTCTATACACGTTCCCTCGATCCTACTCGCTTCACATCTATCTCTCCCTCACTCTTGCTCATTCTATCTCTATCTATCTCCTTCGTATTCTCTTACTCGCTCTTTTGTTCTTACTCAGTCACTCCCTCTCCTTCTTGCCTCCCCGAAGATCACTCTTGAGCGACCGGCTATAAAATGGCAACCGTTGCGACCGAGCACGATATCGAGTGGCACACGCCACAGCTACGTCGCTTCTCGTCTACTGTACCTCTGTGCTTTCTTTTCCTTTCTGTCTTTGTTCCTCTTTCTTTGTCGTTTGTCGCAGTGTCACTTAACCCAATCCAGTCGTTCGATTCGCGGCTACGAACCGGTTCGATTTCGTGTTGCGTCGCGTCGCGTCAGAGAGCCGTTATACCGACGACCACGCGACAATTTATCGACCCTCGGACGCACGATTCCCAGGAGTGTGATATTCGAACGACACCACGAATCGCTCGATTTCTTGATTCTCTCTGTTCTCGATTCCCTCTCCCTTTCTCTCTCTCTCTCTCTCTCTTTCACTGTGGATGAGGATTCTCACGAAATCGACACTTGCTTCCTATCTCTCTTCGTGTGTCTATCTCTCGCGGTCTTGTGTAAACGTTTCACGATCAACCGGTATCGGATATGGTCGTCTGTAGACGGTACGGCGACGACACGAGAAGAGAATTCGTCAAAAAATTCCGTTCCTTCTTTGTACGGTGTTCAACGTACAAATATATATTCGTCACGAGCGGAAGATCGTCGAACGCGCAAGAGAGTGCTTGTGCTGAGGGACGCGGTTTATCACCACTCGATCGACAGAATCGTTAGTGAGTTCGGAGCGAGTTTTTTTCACGACGCGTCCCGACGGTGTGTGCTCGCTACGAGAGCGGAACGATTTTCCCCGAAGCCGAACCCGGGAGTGACTAAAATCGAAATCGGTGGACGAACAGGGGCGCGTCAGGGCGCGCATGTGCGACGGCGCCGCCGGTCGTCGACGCATATTATCCGTGCCGTGTTTCGTGTTGCTATCGTGTGCGCGTTCCCGGGTCTCTCCTCGCTAAGGAATTACTAACCGACCTGATCACGTTTGACTCTCTCGCTCGGGCACGCCGCGCGAATTCTCATCGATCGGGTGCCGCTTCTACGGCTCCCTTTTTTTCGCGCGCATCTTCAAGACGCCCGCCATCTTGGAACAGGGACAAGAGAACGCAATTGAAATGCGTCGCTCGTTAATTGCTTAACGTTTTGCACGCGTTCCACACGCGATACAATTTGCACGTGTTGATCAGTTTCCAAATTTCCCGAGCTATGGGTAGGCGTAACGCCGTTCGATCGTTGAAATTATGTGCGATAGTTAAAGTGTGATTTTATGGTTAGTTTCGTGAAACAAATTCGTATAATTAAAAGATTCGCCTTACAGAATTATTTTAAATTTATTGTTTCTGAAAATTTATCAAATTATATGTGTTCTTGCTTGTTTTACGTATTGATGAAGATAAATGGTTTGAAATTAACGTTGCAATCGGTTCTTTCTTATTTAGAAATAAAGTATTAATTTTTATCTTATCATAAATGCAACAGGAAATACAGTGCTCAGTTTACCAATGATATACGCTCGTGAAATAATTCTATTTTAATTTAAAAATAAGTTACTCAAGTTCTACAGTATTAAGAAGATATACAAATACATCGTTCAAAATATTTCTACTTAATTAGAAACATTTATATTATCGGTTACCCAATCTCTTACCGATCTTCCGGAGAATCATTTAATGAGTATCATTAACACTATATCAATACACGATCATTTATTAAGCATATCATATACCAAAAAGAGAAAATGAATAAAAACTCAATAAATAAAAACATTTTAATATTAAGCTATGCACTCAATTTAACATATAAATCCATCTTTGACAATTGTAATAAATTATTAAATATATAACACTGTGCTTCAAAATACTTACCTTTTCTAGCTGTTGTCCGGGTTTTCGGTTTCCTATCTGTTTGCTCCTCTAGTATATCATTCTCTTTGTGAAATACTCGTTGCGGCACATTCTCGGACTTCACAGTACTATTCCCTTCTACATCTACGAAACACATAAAATTTCCATCAGATACTACGCGTGACAAAAACATCTCGCTTCGTATCGTCGAAGCCCAGCTTGCTCTCGGTCGTATTTTCTAAACTTCAGTCGTCAATTCGCGAACGAGCAAAGACGACATCGATGGAAAGTTAGTACACTTACTTGTTAACACGCAGGGTTTGCCAAGAGCCAAGTAACGCTTCCTGGCAACCTGAGCGGCTGCGAAATCTGGCTTATGATTGTGTTCCATACGCACCCTCGGTTTTGTGCAACTCGTGGTAGTGATAAGACTACCTCTGCAGTGCATTGTTCTACCGACGCATCTCCATCGAATGTTATATGGTTGCTTCTTGTGCAGCGTGTACATGTAACCCCGGTGTATCAATTTTGGACCACCTTTGTTTGATAGCACAACCTGCGGTATGAATTAATGTAGATCAATATTAATATTAATTTATAATTAAACTCTTATTAATAGTAATTTGTTATTCAATAATTAATAACATAGTATGTTCAATGAAATTGGAAAGAATGCATGGTAACTAACATGTTGGAAATTTGAATGTAAATGGGGATTATTCATGATATTGAAAACAAAACGTTTAATGTCCCTAAGAGCAAAACATGAACAAAATGGTAATCAGAAACAAATTAGATCTTTTTGACTGAAGATCAAATTACACTTTTTCTCCTCCAGTGATTTTAAGCATTATAATATTTATAAAAACAAATAATTGTATATAATATTTTGTAACTAAATTTAAACATTTTTAATTATTTAAAAAGAGTGACCGCTGAAGGTTATGTGATTTTAAAGTTTCTTTGTTCCGTACTTCGGCCACATTTAGATCATCATCGCCAGAATTCTCATCAAGAAGAGACGATGTGGAAGCTTCTTCCTTGATTTGCGTTTTGTTTTGGTTGGACGCACTTCTCACGCGTTGTGGCATCTTATTTCACGTTCTATTCTCCCTTATAGTAAACACTGCAAGCTCTTAATAATCCATTGTTCTTGGCATTGACCTAAAAAATTATTGCTGCTACTAAAAAATTTTTTAAAGTGACCTATTTATATTCGATGGAAATAACTATGTCAAAGTAACCTTACAGGCCTTTCATACCAACTAATCTCAAATCGTTATCAGTAAACTTAATAGTATTTCAAATTCCATTTTAATTATGTATATACCTGTTCTCCTTTGCAATACTAAATTTATGCCTAACTCATTTTAATTTATCATACTTTTTCTGAAAAAAAGATCAGAAAATATACAAAAAAAAATAATGTAAATATTAAAAAAAGTATAACAAAATTTATAAATTAAGTACTTTAACTTCACAATTAGAGTTATGTTTGCCTATATAATCTTTTTCACAATGTTTCCATAAATAGCCATGCATATAAAACTCCATTTCCGACCGAGGACGCGAATCGACTTCTCGATCGTGGGTTTGAACGGCCCACCGATCTCTCGAATGATATACCGACGCGATTTTCGCAATTGCATCTGTCTGCCCAGCTTCTATTACTGTGAAATCGTTTAAACGGCTCCGTACCTATGCACGCGCCAAAAATAGCACAGGACGGAGAGATGAACAGTGGGTCTATAGAACCTCGGAAATCGTGCGTGCTAGAAATTTCAGTCTGCCTCGTGTTCGTTCGCGGACCAATCTCTTTTTCCTCTTCCCTCCTCGTTTTTTTCTCCGATCACGTTGTCTCACTCGCACCAATCTTGAGGAGCATTCGCAACGAAGCGTGCGAAGAAACCGTCTGATTTGATGTTAATTTTAAAAACGAATATTCTCTGTTACTAATTTGCAACACAATTTATAACACTTTTATGAAAAGCTTGAGATTTTAGTGATAGTGAGTTAATGTAGTATCTTTCTTATAAATAATGATATATTTGTAATTTCATACGAGAAAAATCGACCTAAACTTGTTACTGAAAAACTTACATATTGTACATTATGTCATTTTAAATGTTGAGATTCTCAGCTATGTCTCTTCCTTTATGTGTCGAATATACGTAAGTTTATTGTCTTTTTTGTTATTTTTTTAACGCATTTTTTTATTGTCTTTTTATGTTGCCTTAGTTTGTGTTACTTTACAAATGTGGAAAAATACGGGACAAACGGCAAGTATCGGGTCTGTGAATGCTCGTCACTTCATTATGCCAATGCCAATATTGGTGTCTCTATATGTATAACTAGCCGATGATTTTATTTAATTTCTTGTGTAAAGTGCAAAGGTTTCTCAGGCATGTAAATGTACATTAAAAACTGTGTTTGTAATAAACTTAAAAAAAATCAGTATCATTGAACTCTCTATGGTGTCATTTTTTATCTTTCCTTTCATAACTTTAATTAAAAAATGCTTATTTCTGATAAACATCAAAGCAGCAAAGTTCAATACCTTACCTTTTCAGCTTTTTATAATAATACGAACGATTATAAAAAACTCATAAAATGTAAAGCATTGAAAATAGGAACTTACACGAAGCTTTAAATCAACACGTTCGTGGCACAGCATTTTTTTAACTTCAACGAACGCATCAGTAAAGCATTGTACTAACTTCCGCCTAAAATCGTTTTTTATTGTACCATCTAATAAAATCGTTTTTCACACGAGCATAGAGTATCGGTAGTAATACTCACGTGTTATTGACACGTAATTCAATCCGTAAAATCCGCAGGAACGTCCATAGTACAGTCATACATGTATAAATAAAGGTATCACGAGCCCAAGAAAGAAAACGACAAGATGAACGATCTCTGGCGTTTCTTCAGGGAACCTAATCGTGATTCTCGATCCCGATCAAGATGAATCGATATCCAGACAGCCAGCAAGCCGGCCCGGCTAGGTAATAGCCGTTTTCGCCGAAACTGACGAATGGCCAAACGAAAATGGCGAAACGCTGTTGATCGGATCTTGCGCAATAAACGCCGCAGTCTGGAACGAGGAGAATATGGCACCGGACAAGCGCAATCAATGAACGGCACTATGGCACCAGTGCCAGACAGTTTATTCGCGCGCCACGACCGATCGTTTCTCTCGCTTTTACCATTTACGCACGGATGGCGCGCAACGCGAACTTGTTATGGGACATCTGACAGTTTTCGATAGCTTTACGGTGTTACGTTTCAAAACATGCGTCGTCGACGCGGTGTCTATGGAAAAAACTGACGGCAGCGACACGCTCGAGCTTTGGCTAAAACAAATACATGTATATGTATATGTGTGTACATTGTGATTGCGATTTCACTACGCCATAAAAAAATTTATTTCTGATGGTCACACGGATAAAAGATTGTCAGGGAAGTCGGTACGCGCGATAAGAGATTCTGGATTGGTAAAATTGGGAACATCCGTATCATCGTGGACAGAAGCTAGTAACTATGTGTGCAATGATGACCTGTAATTGAATGGATATAGCAGGGATGTATTGTAATATTCATTGTGCTCTGTATTCATTAAACTTTTTAAAAAAATCAATAGACATGTTTCATTTGTTTTGTACGTAATAGAATACTGATCATCGAAATGATTGATTCTGTATATTTTTAATATTAAATTTTGCAGTATTGAAGAAAATATATTTAAAGATTCGTGAAATATTTTTTTGGTGTATTTCTGTTTCTTTTTTTTTTACTGCATTTCGATAATCAAGACTGTGCTGTTTCTTGTCCTCTTTTATTGGGTGTTACCTCTCCTTGTCCTCTTTTATTGGATGTTACCTCTCCTTGTCCTCTTTTATTGGGTGTTACCTCTCCTTGTCCTCTGCAATGTTGTTTTACTCCACGACGTCCGACTAGTGCTCTGTTACATTTTACTTCGTGCGGTCTCATTCTACTTTGCATTATGTCGTTTTGTCACACCATCTACCTGATGTCGTGGTAACTCGTCTTATTCTACGGTGTGTTGTCTTCACCGATTCCACCGTGTATAGTTGCAAAATATATTTATATTCATTTTTGGTATCTCATTTTATCTTGAATCTTCATTTCTATATTCCTCATTACTTTTATGTTACTTGTTTGAATGCGAAACTTCTTAACATAAAAAAATTGAAGGAAAAAAGTCACACCTATCGTGGCTGATTCTTAGAACACAATAAGCTACAATTCTATACATATATAAGTTCTACATTCTATTTATAAGTTACAATTCTATGGATCACTCAGAAGATCGTCCAATCTGTTTCTTTTAATTACTTTTATTAATCGATTGTTCCAAAGGGCATGTTAAAAGATTTGTTTTGCAATGGTTCATTGTTTTTAATGTAATTTATAGTAGTACAGTATAATATTAATTAAATCGATTATATTAAATATTGTTTCCTTGTATGCACTGTGTAACCGAATAACGATACAGACGAGACTAGCACGTGGTGACCTTCGGTAGCGCTACCCCTTCACACTTTTTTTTGTCTTCTTTATCCCTAGCGCTAAGTAATTATTATTATTATTTATTTTTTTATCTTCATTTTTAATCGTTTCTTCAACGCCACATTTTCAAATAGACTCACTCTTCGCGCGAACATTCTTTCACTTCCTCTTCCTTTTCTCGTCCTTTACTCTCCATTCTATAGCGTGTGTGATCTCTCATTGTGTCTTGGCAGCGTTTTTGAACGATGAATAATAAATACTCACGTAGAAATAAATATTGAAAGGAAGCCCGTTCGAACTTAAGGACACATGACGATCAATCAAAAAAGGATTATACACGAGAGAAGCTGCTCGTGATTGTAAAAAATCATATAGTCGGTTTCAAAAATGACGGTCACGACATAAACATTCTTTTAAAGGCACAGGCAACGGGCATAGCATAATTAACTTAATAATTATCAGCATCATATTGAATTTGATGTTGCAAATCAAAGGTTATTGTTAATTAACCCTCCATGGACCACTTAATAAAATAAAATCAACATTTAAAAGTATATCTAATATAGGTTAGAATGTGTCAATTTTTTCAACCAATGTCACGTGTATTTTCTACAATGTTTAAATGTACTTTAGGGATACTTTTATTAGTAGGTTTAAATATCGATTATCGATGGGATAAGTGTCATACAATGGACTACAGAGGGTTAACGAGCGCTCAATTATATATCCGCAAAATACAAATGAATACGAAATTAATGTGTTGCACGAGAGCATACCCATCACAGAGACGCTTTACACAAATTCACCGGGGATGCCGTTGGAAAAGACGCGACGCACGTTAATCACCAAGCAGAATTCCGAATTTTTGTCGTACGTTGCTAGCAACATCGAAGTGTAACGATTTATGGTGGTACACCTGTATCTTGCTGAAAGAAAAATTCGATTAAATAATTCTTTCGTACGAGTACAAAGTGTACTACTGGCGGGTTACGCTTGAATATTTATGGTCAAGCTCAGAAATTAAGCTACATTATCGTGATTCAACAGGTTAACGTGTAACACATCGCGAATCATAGATGAAAAGTCCTTTTTAAATGAAGAAATACCTTTGTGTACGTAAGAGTTATTTGATTTGAAAAAAAATATGATTGAATAGGTGTTAAAATTTTTTGTCCCCTTATAACTTGCAAAGATTTCTTCAGTTTTTTTTCTTCTAAAGGACTGTGTATCGTTATTATGTTGATTCTATTGCATGTTTGAAGATTCATCTTTAATTAATTGTTCGATAATTCCGGCAAGGGTAGTTCTACAGGTCAATTCAATTGTTTCTACATGGTAAATTGAAAACGATCACTAAACTTGGTATTTTGTTGCTGTTACTTAGAGTATCTGCTAAATAATTGACCAAAAGTGCACTTTATGTACCCTGTTAAATGCATCCTTGACTACACAATAGAACAAACACAACTTCATTTTTAAAAAACCATTCGTTGATATCAAACATTTGCAAATAATATAAAGTCATATAAAAAGATCCAAGTTCAACAAAAAATTTTCTCCTTCAAATCAAACAATCTTTTGTATGCTTCCAACGGTTTGAGAAATAATTATATGTACATACTAAAGTCAGATTAGAACTTGACTGGCTACAGCCTCATCATAAGGAGATTCTGAACTGACGAGTAACTCCAAGGCTTATAATTTTTTCTGACTGCAAACACTGATCCGCGACATGTTTGATATTTACTTTTGTAAAATGAACGTTGGAATGTGTACTGTACATAGGATATTGCGGTAAAGTATAATTATAACAATACAACTGTATACGTAGACAGAGGCATAATGCCGGAAACATGCGAGAAACTCTAGAGTACACGAATGAGTCATAGAAACGGATGCGTCGAATCGTCGTGTATTATATAAAATCGTCTTCTCCGGTTAATTGTCGATAACCTCGTAATTATGTACAAATTTGTCGCCTCTCTTCGCCTACGTAAGAATAAAGTTGCCAATGCCTTCAAAGTCTCAGTGTCGGTTATACCATCGTGGTTGTTATATAGTACACCGTAAGATACCTAGTGATATTTCTGTATCTTATGTTCTTGTTTGCACGATGAACGTTTTAAACGTGTTGCTCGTTTCTATCGGTTTCACTATGATCCATTTTGCCTACCGGTGGCAGTTCTTCTTTTTCCTCTTTTTTTTTCTCCTTTTTTAAAAAATTCTTACATGATACATTACTTTGTTATTCTAAACCTTGAAAAATGTTCATTGTTTCATTTCAGTACTCTCTTTTTAAGGCCGGCGTTTAATTAATTTAAAAAATACATGGCTACTTTAATTTTAATAATATCAACGATATCGAGTTTATTGAATCATCTGCTTTCACGTGTTTGTTAGTCGGAATTGTTTGAATTCACAATTAGGTGATAGAGATTCCAATAAAAGCTTTCGTTACTTTGTTTTTTTAAGTTGAAGAAATTAATGGTTTTGAGCGCTAATAACAAACGTTCGGTATTAATATCTCGAAGAAGAGTTGAATAAACGCATTGTGCCTACCGGTGGCAGATTTGAAAAGCGTCGGGTGGTGTGTGTGTTTTCGCGTGTTGGCTTCCATGGTAGAATTCTGAATTCACAGAAAACGTAACCAAACACGCTCGAATCGTGAATGAAAATAACGAATAGTCTAGAGACGTGTTGTTGTGACAATCTTCTCCGTTACAATGAATTAGCAGTGATCGCAACGCGCTCGTGCCAATTATAACAAACTGTGGATGTCTTGGCATTCGTCAAACACTTCCTTCAGCTTCAATTTCACCAAAAACGAAGCAAATTGTTCGGTGATTCGCGTGTATTAGACAAACATACACTTTGGATTTAATATTTATTGTTCAAATAGAATTGAAAAATTCACGTGTCTATGTTGTAATTATAAATAATATATTTCAATAAGGAAGCAAGGATCATTAAAGCCAAAGGATACGGTTGGATCCCAAAATTAATTTTTCTTTTAATTGTAAAAAAAAAAAACAAGAAGGTAGTACTCGATAAATTCGAGTAAAACTTAAATACAATGAACAAAGCTATAATAAGCGCATTCCTCCATTAACCATCTTCCCTTTTTACAAATATTCAAATTAAAAATAGTAACAATGATTAAACCACTACGAACGATTGTATTTATACAGGAATTCTAATTACACGCGATATCTATTAAACCACTATGACCGTGATCGAGAGAAAAAGAGAAGTAAACTTTTAGAGAAAAAAAGTAAACTGGTTCGTTGATGGTGAAACCGTGTTGAGAAAGAAATCGAGCGTACCTCGTCGGAAGAACGTGACTAAATATCTGTTATGTATCTTATGTCGGAGTACAAATGAACGAACAAAATGCCAGATAGCGACGACACAAAAGCACGACGAATTTCTAACTCCTCTAGCCGGCATTGGAATATTTCTTTTCAGTCAACCCTCTCGAGTCTACACTTTCTTTTCCTTGAACGAAAGACTACGGTGACAATACGAAAGAAGCAGTGCCAGTGTGCGCTTAACATAAAACTTCTGTCACAATTTTAAAACGAAAATCGATATATCGAAGACTCGAAAGGATTCCATGCTGGGTCGACGTTTAACCTCTTGGGTTTTCACGCTATACATGTGTTGTTTATCGTGTTACAGTTTATTACGTTAAATCGTGAAAAAGCTCGCTCGCGAGCTAGGCGTTGAAAGAATCCCACTGTTAAGAGGATTAAACGACTCTGCACACCAAGGATTTGTTTGTTGTCTCTAAACGTCGTAAAAATGATGAAAAAGGAAGGAATTTAGCGGGCGTTAAAATTGTTTGACAATCTTGTAAAATACAATACACTCGTACAATAATAATCTACATCGTTTCGATTCATTTTTCTACGATTAATTTTAAACCTGTTTCATTCTTCCTTTTCCTTCTCGTTTTACTTTAGGTAATGCAAATTAGCGAGACGTGTTCCTTGGACAACGGAATATACAGTAAAAGCTTGTCGATTGAACATATACGAAAATCGATTGTAAGTTTGAGAATCGCTTGCTTAAACTATATAGATCAATCGATAAAAAGATACTTTGAACACAGCAGGGATTATCGTTAAAAAATGTAAAAACACGAATAACAAAGAATTTCTCTTAAATAATCTGTAAAACGTTATCTTGTTCTTCATTTTTTTTTTTTTTTGGGTTGCTTTTCGCTCTTTTCTTTCCTTTTTTTCGTCTTGAAGCTAAAATGACGTAAGAGTTAAAAAAAAAAAAAAAAAGAAAAGAAACGCACTTATAACCCATGTATCAATCGAAAACACAAGGTTTTATGGCGGATATATAAATGAAATATAGCTTCGATCGGTATTCGAACTGCCGGCTCACGGAGTTCACACGTCGTATTATTTCGAAGAGGCGGTACACACGATGTTTACCGTGTTTAAAGTAACGCATCGCGGGGTAAAGATACCGAGGAAGTCCAAACTCGAGTGTTATTCAGCAACTAACTTGACCGAGTACTCTTTAATGTCGCGTCATTACAAATCGACGATATGCGAAAAATCGATGTTCAAGAACGATTTTTCGCACGGTTACAATGACAATGGAATATATCCATAATAAACATGTTATGATCGTAAATGTGTGAACTTTCTTATTTCTCTGCATTTTCCGCTGCTGCTACTATTGAACAAGAAGACGACGTATTACCCAAAGGGATTAACTCTTTCGGTTAATTTTGGAATATAACAAAGTGACCTTTACGTGATAACTTCGGAAGCTTCGAATACACGTTTTCTCTCTTTTCTTTTCCTTTTTCGTCTCATCACCTCTGCGTGCTGTTTTTTTTTTTTTCGTTTGTAAACCTCTTTCGTAAACCGACACTCCCTGCGGAAATTGAATACCACTAGCGAACGCTAATTTAGTTATGAACAAATAGAAACATCGAAAAGGCCAACTGATGGGATGTTTGAACATAGCAATTGATCGTCGGGAACGGCGAGCAATGAATTCGAAGGACAATTCGCACCATTAAATTATGCTTCTTTACGATTAGCTGTTGTTGCTTCTTATGACGCTTCTCGCGATCCTCAGCCGACGTTCTGAGCCGTCAAACAATCATACGGCACATGCGTAGCACGATAGACAGCAATGAATAACACGCGGTTCGGGTCACGGAACTGCGCAACAACAAATAACGTAGCGCTACTATTAGCATCCCCCATTGTACAGCTTTGTGAAGCCAATATAACCTGAAACACAATGAATGAAATAAGTAAACATAAGTGAATGAATGATATGAAAGATATAGTTCAATATTATTTTTCTATCGTATTATTACATTGCTGACCAAATATTTCGATCAGTTTTTCTTGGAATGCAGGGTGATTGTAAATATTTGACTGGTAGTGTGTGTAAAAGAGAATAATTGTATCGATATTTTCACAAATTTAATTCTTTCGAAGAATCATCACTTTCCCAGCTGCTTACTTTTTAATATGTGAACGAGCTGCTGGCAGTGTGTCCGGACTCTCCTTCAGGATGAAGTGCCGAATTCCCAATATGTAGTGTTCTAAATACGATGGCCAGTCGATTTGTCTGACGTCAAACATAAATGTCTGTTGGTCTTCAGGACTGAGCTGTTCTCCTAATTGTCGAACGTTGTCATCCCTGAAGTTCCATTGTTGCGTGCTGAAGTACTCCAAGCATTTGGCAGCCTTCTGGAGCTTTGTTTGTAAGTTGACCATCATGGTCGGCTTGCCCTTCAGTCGAAGCAGCAAGTCTAAAATGTGCGCCGGTAGTATGTGCTGGAAGAACATGCACATTTTGTTCAATACAGCGGAGTTGCGGCAACGACCGCCCGGATACCAGATCACGCCGTTCGGCGGGTACATTCGACTGTACTTGAACGTCAGGTCAACGAACTTCTTCCAAGTGATCGGGTTCTGTTGACCTGTGCAACAATTGTACACGAGAATCTTCTGGGTGCGAGACGTCGCGGTCTTCCATGCCGCGCAGATCATCAAATTGATCACTATGTCAACTGGTACCAAGTCTGCTACCTTGTTCTCATGACACAGCATGGTTCTGTAATTAAAGAGTATTCTTTCAGTTAATCGTTTATTTGGATACAAAGTTTAGGAGAGAAAGATCTAATAGTTCATTCGTTCTTCCTTAAATTCTTTTGCCTTTTACCTTAACGCTAGCTTACAATGAATTCTTCCTTCCTTAAAAAAGAAAACCTTCTAACACACAAGTAACCATTTTCTCAAACTTTTCTCAGCTTCCATGCTCTATACCACATACATACTTCTAAGAGTAACGTTTGTCTAGGTATTGATAAAAATGACTACAGCAGAGATAGTACCTGAAGAAACCTTTGCCAACAGCGGCTATAATTCCAGTCGGCCCATTCAAATTGTCTACCCATCCAGCGACCGGTTCTCTGAGGGACGACAGGACGATGGAAGGTCTGACGATAGCAACCGGCAAATAGCTAGACTCCGTTTGCAACAGCCTTTCAGTCAGGGCTTTGGTAAACGTATAGGTATTCGGTCGGTTGCCGATCAAAGTCGGTGTTATATCATCAACCATCTGGGCATTCATGACCTTCGTCAAAGCGATCACGTGTTCTGGTTCGGTCAACACCGGATAGATCTCCTCGGCGACGTCCTTGATGTCGCAATTGCAATATGCCGTCGAAACGTGGATCAGGGCCTTAACACAGAAAGGAGAAGTAAAGATGATTGTCCTTCTAATGCAACCATGGATAGATTACATCTAATACACCGCGAGGCACGCAAGCTTTTACATACCTTTTTTTTCCTTCATTTCATACAGATTTCAGATAAAGTAAGTGTCCTTTTACCCATAACTCTGTTTTATCTTTCCTTTTTAACTATCTTTAAAATATTTGAAAAATTCCTTATTTTCTCGCTTATTTATAATTTTATACACGTTGACGGTTTATTTGAAATTTCTCTTCCGTTCTTTCTTATTGTTCGAAGTTCGAGAAGAGTATGAAAGCTTTTAAAATGCCACCACTGTGCATCGTACCGAATCGTAGTTCTGATGTGTAATCACGAGAAACGGATAGAACATCGTTACCTCTAAGTTCTCCATGCCACGGCACAAGTTCAAGAGCTGTTTCGTGCCGACCATGTTGATGGTGACAGAAAGCTTCAGCGCTTCGTCGAATTTGACAGTGGCGGCGGAATGAAAAACGATCGACACATGTTCCATTAGCGTTTCTTGATCGTCCTCTGAGATGCCCAATTGGTGCTCCGTCACGTCACCGCTTACGGGGATCACTTTCGACAGTTCGTGCGGCGCGTCTCGTCGCAATTTCTCGAACAGCTGTCAATATTTCAACGTGTTAATTCAACCCTGCCATTTTCAATCCCTAATCTTCTCAACTAAACACGTCTATTTCAATTAATAAAACCCAACACCGAAGTTAATTCCAAGTGAACACGTTTCTTCTCTCTCTCGAATTTTATACAGGGTGTCCTTACGAAAGAGAAAATAAGTCGAAATTGCGGAGTAAAGTTTTCGCATACGAAGTTTCAACTCGAACGTGCCTAGCCCAAACTAATGTACCGATACTCTGTCTAAAAAGATATACTTATAATCGTCACAACGTTAACCCTTTAAAACTCACGCCCTAGCTTCACACGTGCTCGCGACAATTATCCAATAAGATCAATTTCGTTAAAAATTATTCTCTTTCACTTTCCACATTGCCGTATTCTTTCTATCGTGGCAAAAAGAAAGCGCGAGTTACAGCGTTGCAAATAAATGGGAAACATATTTCTACTCGCCTAGGAATTAAAAAAGAAAATTCGTCATTTTTGGCACACCAAGGTGAGCGAAATTTGAGCGTTAAATGGTTTTAAACATCGTCTACCGTACTTTTCGAACACCCTACAGAAAAGGGACAACAGGAAGTGTTCTTACCGGTCCATTCAGCAGCTCCTGCAACCTGAGATGAACGTCCTGACCTCTCTTCGGTCTTATCAGCAGGTAAATGTTCTTTATCCCGGGACAAGATCTGAGTAACTTCTCGACGAGGACTTTCCCCATGAAGCCCGTGCCGCCGGTGATGAAGATAGACCTGTCCTTGTAGAACTCCTTGACGGACGCGTACTGGGTGCCGGTCATCGTACTCATTTTCACGTGTGTATCCTTCTTACGCTCTTCACTCGAAAGAATTTTTTCGTAAGAATTCAAATAATCCCCGATTACTCTCCTCTCCCTGTTCGATTATTATTTCCAGCCGGTGAACAGCGATGGTTTTTAACGTTACACGACAATATCTCTGCCCGTCCTTCTCCCTCTTCCTCTTTTCAAGCTTCTTGGGATCGATGAAGAGCACTTCTTCTCTTGTTCCTCTATGCTTCTCCCTCTCTCTCTCTCTCTCTCTCTCTTTCCTCTTCGGCTTTTATCTTTGGTCTTGATACAATCTTTTGCTACTTGTAGCGAGCGTGTGGAACGTATTTATACGTGCCTATGTATATATATACATATATATTTATTTATGTATGTACGTATGCATGTATATGTATATATATACATATATCTCTCTCTCTCTTCTCTTGTCCTCTATTCTTTCTCCCCTTTTTCTTTTTAACTTGGTTCGTTTTCGTGACTGTACAAGTGGCGGAAGTGAAAAGACACGCGGCTCCTCCTCTATTTCTCCTCCCTTCTGAGATGGGGGAACAGAGTTTGAGAAAGGTGCAACGAAAGCTGGCACAGGTTCACGCCGTTCCAAGGTTTACCAAATGGTCTACGAATGGATTTAATTTCTGCTGGACTCATCTCGTGCCTCCCTGCAACACCACAGCTTCTACTCTGCTGGAAGAAATAAGAAAGAAACAAAGGAGAATTAATTGACCTGTTTCCATATAACACCGTCACCCCTCTCGCGTATTGTTTGCTACTCTATTAAAAAAAATACAAAAAGAAAAACGTCCAGGAGATAAATTCTTTCCTCGAAAACGGTCACGTTGCGGCTGATTTTATTTTCAATGCAAGAGCAAATAGGTATCGCTGAACAGACGAATAATTCCGTATCTCATACGCGACTCGTTCGTGGAACTTTCTGAATGAGAATAGTTATTTCGCCGCGTATAGAAGTGACGAATTCACGCGGAAAATTCTTTCCTTCCTTCCGACGCGCGGCTTTTCTTTCTTTTCTCTCTCCTTTGTCTTTTTTTTCCTCACTCAAGCATCCGCAGTTTAACGACCACCCAGTAGCCCGCGATCGTCTCGCGCCGCTGTTATCGATTTTCCCGCCGCCTTTTTATCGCGATTCCCATGTCATCACCGGCACATCATCGCCGTGTGTCCGAGATTCTTGTTCTTAATTTTATTCTGTCTTCAACAATTGTTAGACGTATAATTGAATTCGTCGCGTTACGAAAGGTTAGAGATGATTTTTCAGTACGTACGCACGCCGGTATATGCCTGTGCTACCAGAGTTACAGCAGATTAATGTCATAAGTGTCCTAGTATTCTAGTTCTTCGGTACATCAGTACTCGAAGCTCTCGATACTCCGGGTACTACGGGGAGTTTTAATACGCTAGTGTCTTCGTTCTATAGTACGCCTGTGATTTAGGACTTTGGTACTCCAGGTCCTCGATATTTTCCTACTTCGCTGTTCCGGTACTCTGTTAAAGGTATTTGGTATACTGGATTGCTGGTATCAGCGAGATCTAGATCACCGGTATCATTGAACTCTGGTATCTCACACTTTTGATATATTTCAAATCTAATATTCCAGATTACTAAGTATCTTAGGCTTCTAGTATATTTGCTATCTACTATTCCGTATCACTAGTATCATTGAACACTAGTTCACTGGGGCCCCAGATCTACGTACTAATTGGTTCCAGAGTGGGCGACGCAAGTCGAAAAGGACGCAAGTCGGGGTACACAGGATAGAAACGTACATATGTACGTATGCAAACATATGTATACATGTATTTATCGGATTAGAGGTTGGATTTTCTTTTAAATTTGTAGAAATGATAGAACGGATCACATTTACAGTTTCGAAATCTTTGCTCAAGTAACTGATTCGGTAAGAACTAAACACGTGGAGAGTGAAATATCGGTTAAAAACAATTGACTATCGAATTGTGTAGAAACGACGTAAATCGGGAGGACGTAAATCGGGAGGACGTAACTCGGGGCCCCACTGTATTTTAAATCATTAGTATATCTGCAATCTAATATCTTCGATCATTTCTAACGATTCATTAGTATCACCGAACTCTGGTATCTTAGACCGCTAGTATCCTTCAATTCTAGTATCACAGACCGCTAGTATCCTTGAAATTTAATGTCCTAGCTGACCAATATCCTTAAATTCTGGTATCCTCACAATTCAGTATTTCAGCTCTCTACTACATCTCAACATCCTAATATTCTACCGCTCTAACACCTCCAGCTTCCCGATACTCCAACACCGAGAGAATTGGAAATGAATAAATGTACCGAAATAATAATCACTGAAAATGTCAAGCACCTATTACACCTGTACCCCACAAACGTGATTTTTCAAGCAATAATTCTGCCAGCCACTTATCCATTACAATAGTAACTTGCACAAACGCTGAGAACTCATTCGAGCAGCTAATCCCCTGGGCTCCTTTGAACACGGCCAACACACACAAACAGCCCCAAAAGCTTTCTTCAATCAGTCAGCCCTGATAATCAATTTCCCCGAAGCAGCACACACAGAGAGCAGCCCCAGAACGTGGCCTGGCAAAAGACGTGTTTTCCTAGTTCCCGCCGTGAATAATAATAAGAATTGGGTCGAAGTTCTACCTTGAAATGTACTGCTGTCGGACAGCCGGCAAGAAAAAGAGACCAATCGTCGTTTAACCGCGAGAAACCGGACCCTGACTCTTGTTATTCCCGGTTCCTCCAACGCAAAACTCAACACGACAACGCTTGAATTTCAAATAAACCTGCACCCGGAACATCCGAGTGGTTCCTCGTTGAAAAACACCTGTCGGTCGATCGCTGATAGCAAAAAGAACTACGAATTTGCGAAGGGAAAGACGAATAATTTCTTTAGATACCCTCTGAACAGATTTCTCGTGCAAAAGTCGAAAGCGTAAAATGAGATTTGCATCTTACACGAATGTTCAAAATTGATCTTCGAAATTCTACTGTATCAGATCACGTATTAACCCCTTAATCTATGTTTTCTTTTCTGACTATGAATCTAAGCGTCACACACTCACTGATTTTAGTATTGTATCAGGTAACAGAAGCTAATCCGTAACAGATCAACCCTAGAGCGGTCTTCGGGTCTTTTTTGACTCATCGCCTTCTTATCTTTTTAATTACTTTTGCTGTTATCAAATTTATGTTCCCTTAGCATTACCTATGTTCATACGGCGTGCTGGTAACAAAAGTTGTTACACCTAACACCTTCGGGTCAAAAAAGACCCAGAAACCTCAAGTGTACAGTCGAACGAAAGAACGCGCTAGGGTTAATCACATTTAGCAATCCTCGGTGTTACAAATGAAACAGTTTGGATTACAATGAATATTTCTTACCGATACATTTCTTATCTCCGTCACGATTCTAGCCACGTTGTTACAGGTTAAAGGATCAACACGAGCAATATCGAGAATTATTTCCAACAATTCTGAAAAATCGACAAGTTACAATCTAGCAAATAGATTACAATATCCACAATGTAACGAAAGAAACTTACAAAAACTTCTCCTTGCTATCTGTATCAATATCTACAATCACTGACACGAATAAAAAAAAAACTAATCGCAGTATCAACAGCACACGTGTGATTTTTGAAAATTCCACGTTTCCCCTACAAACGCGAAGGTTTCCGTGAAGAAATTTCACATTTTCCCACTTATACAACCGACGCGTTTCTTCTGCACGAAGAGTGTCTCCTGTGTGTACGTAGGAGAGAAAAAAAAAAAAAAAGGAAAAGGAACTTCCGATGCTAATGGGTCAACGTACCGTGGAGGAAACACGCGGAATTCCCACGATGTTAGAAATCGACGTAGGAAAAACAGGAATCTTAGCCGGAAGTGAATGTTACAACACGGGGTATTCGATTAGGTTTCCCGCTTGTTCAACGCGACGCGTGTTCTCGTGTCTGCGCGCGGACACGTTTTACGCGAAACGAACGAGAGGGAACGGTATCTGGCCTGGCTGTTTTCTTATCTCTGCCATACGCGTACATAGAGCCGGCATGCTCACGTTTGATACGAGACTTTTTTTTTTTTTTTTTCTTTCTTTTCTCTCTTTTAACGTAACAACACCGAGCAAGTGGGAGCGGTCCCGCCGTAACGTATTTTGCTGAATGACCGGTGTGTTATCGTGGAAACGGGTATGAATCATAGACAGGGGAAAAAATAATTACTCTAATGAAGGTTGGTTCGGAGACCCCCTTCGGAAGTACGGCGTAGATTATTGTTATTAAGGTGCGGTAACGGGAAATCTGGTTTTGCGAATAATCCCAGGAAAGAAACGGAGAAATTTATTAATTTTCTACGGTGCTTTTGTCGGTTTTAATGTTAGTCTGGTTTTATCAATTTTTTCTATGTCAGTTTCGTAGTGTAACCTTTGGAATATTAATTCGGGACCATTGTCATTTTCTTTTACACTATTTTGGGGTATGTGTAATTTTTTAGATATTATTTTGGGGTAGGTGTCGTTTTTTAAATGTTACTTTGGTATCATACCGATTTTCTAAATATTATTTTTGTAGAATATTAATTTTTCCGGTAATATTACTATGGTACCGTTTTCAGTTTTTCAATACTTTGGGATAGGAGTAATTTTTTAAACGTTAATTCGGTATCTTATCGATGTTTTAAATATTATTCTGGTAGCGTACTTATTTTTGGAATATTACTTTGGTACCATTCTCATTTTTTAAATATTTAAACATTATTTTGGCGGCGATCTAATTTTTCAATACTATCCCGATACCATTCTAATTTTTAAAAATCACCTTAATCTTATACTCCCAAAACACTATCCTGATATCATTCCAATCCTAGATATTATCTCTTAATACTCTTTCACAGCTAACGATACAATACCATCGTTCACTTATACCGAGAAATTACAAGAATACGTTAAAACAAGTTTCTTGCCGGAGATATTCTAATCAACGATTCGTAGCAAAAAACTAATCCGATTTATTTAACGACCGTTTAATCGATAAAAGAAACTATGCTTCTTTTCCTCGAGCGATCATTCACAAGCATTGCTAAATAAACACACTTAACTACCGATTGATTAAAAATCACGCAAAACATTACGAAGAAAGATAACACACTTCTATTTGATCTTTTCCGCGCGATCGTTACACCTAGCCTTGATAACGCGTATTCACTTTAAATTCGAATAAAATTCGTTCAATAAGAGCGCAGAATAGATAGAAATCAGCGTGTATAACACAGAAATAGAATATCATCGCTTCTCATTTGAATGTTAAATGTAATCGTACTACTGTCACTAGCGATTAGGTACAAAGGAACTGTCGTATGTTGCTTCGATTAGCGGCGACATAATCTAACAACTTTATCGAGATAAAAGATGGCCAAGTGTCACGTTTGATAAAATGTCTAACTTGCGATTCGTAGAACGACGCAAATTCCCTTTGAATCACGGTTGTGCGTTTATTTCTGGGATTAAACGGTGGAAATGATTTATTCGACACACTTTCTACTATATCTGATAAAATTCACATATTTTTTCGCAGAAACCTATGTCAAAAAAATTTGGAAGAAATGTAACAAGAAATCCTATTGCAAAAATGTTGGATCGATATTTGTCCTCGTCGTCGACAGATTTCTA